AGCAGACCCTCACAACACGTTTGGGCCTCCCGGGTCTCACCGGCATCCTCCCCCGCCATCGGAGCCAACTCACCACCAGGTAGTGGTCGGTGGAAAGCTCCGCCCCCCTCTTGACCCGAGTGTCCAGAACATGCGGCCGCAGATCAGCTGAAACGACAACAAAGTCGATCATTGAACTGCGGCCTAGAGTGTCCTGGTGCCAGGTGCATATATGGACACTCTTATGTTTGAACATGGTGTTCGTTATGGACAATCCGTGCCGAGCACAGAAGTCCAAAAACAGAACACCGCTCGGGTTCAAGCTGGGGGGGCCATTCCTCCCGACCACGCCCCTCCAGGTCCCACTGTCGTTGCCCACGTGAGCGTTGAAGTCCCCCAGCAGAACAAGGCAGTCCCCAGGGGGGGGCACCCTCCAGTACCCCCTCTAAGGACTCCATGAATGCTTCGTGCATTTTAAAACGTCTTCTGATGGACCCTGGTGTCCCTCTGTCCAGAGCACACATGGCCAGGTTTGGAGGAATATACAGTGAACCCTGGCTATATGGCGGTTCACCTCGCTGCTTCACGGATTTTCATCGTGCGTTGTGTTCTGCATTCTGATTGGCTAAACAGCGTCTTCTCTACCTGCTTGCTAAATTTAAGTTTGCCAATTCTCTTGCAATTTCACGTTTCTCTAAAACCCGTAATGTTGGCAGAACGTTCTGCAATGACAAAGGCACCTGCGGTCGGCCCGAAAGGCAGATGAAGAAGCTAACCATCACTAACTGTCGAACCTCTGGACATGCTAAAGGAAGGTAGAAGCTATGCGGCTTTAGGTCGCCATTACGAAATTAATGAATCTGCCGTTCGTTCCATAAAGAAGGAGGAAAATAACAGGACTACTTTGTTTTGATGATTAAAATGATTATCTTACAGTACAGTAGTTATTCATAAAAAAATTTTAAAAAAAGGTTTTACAGTGCTTTTAATTGTTAAACAAATGCTTGGAAAAAGGTAAAAAGTAAAAGGTAAAAAGGTTTTGTTCTTTGGTTTAAATGTATTATGGAGCATTGCATTGTTTAATAATTGTAAAAAAATAAAGGTTACTACTTCACGGATTTCGCCTATCGCAGGTTCTTTTTGGAACGTCAGTCCTGGGATGCTTTTGAGGGCCCCAAAAACCCAGACCAGGTTCCAGGAGCAGGCAGTTAGTGGTACCCCTTCTAAATGTCATTAGAAATGTTCCGGTTGCTCTATAATTTCCTCATATGTGCTCTATATTTTCTCTATATTTTCCACATACATTCTCTATGTTTTCTCCATGTTTTCTCTATATTTTCCCCATATGTTCTCAATATTTTCCCAATATACTCTCTATATTCTTTTCCACACACTTGCTCCATATCTTCATGCTGATGAGTCAGTTATCAGCCTTTTCTTGTTGGAGAACAAACTGAACCTGTCGTGTGGTTAAACCATCACTGGTCCAGTTTTACGGAGCCTCACAGTAACTTCATCAGATTATTCTCTTCTCTTGAATCCATTATGTAGATTTTGCATGAGGCCGTTTGGATAAACGTTCCTAAACCTGTTTCAGGTCCACAAAAGGACAGCAGAGCCAAACCACCATCTTTATCTTTTGACTTGTACGTTTTTATTTGCCTTCATATCTGAGTTTCCCTACCCTTTCGAGTCTGACTGGACAGAGAATTAAAATTAAGGTCAGAGTTCAGCTTGTTTATTATGAATTGACTCCTTGATACTGGTAATATATAATATATAAACAAAACCAAAGCCAAAGTGACCAAACTTCAGAAGATGCTCATATTTCCATCCATTCATCCATGTCCACTGTGGATAATGGATCATGGGGGCAGCAGGGAGACCCAGACTTCCCTCTCCCTGACCACCAGATTATTCTCCTCTCCTGAATCCATTATGAACACTTTACATGAGGCCATTTGGATAAACGCTCCCTAAACCTGTTTCAGGTCCACAAAAGGACAGCAGAGCCAAACCAACATCTTTGTCTTTTCACTGGTACGTTTTTATTTGCAGTGAGTTTCTCTCCCCTATCGACACGGCACGTGCGCCGATTGGCCGAAGTAAAGTTAAAAGTCTTACAGAAACAGAGCTGTCTATCCTACAAAACGTAAAATAGGACACACGTAGAGCTCCCTAGCACCACTCACATCAGAGAAGCTTACTGTATGTAAGAAAGGGACGGGTGTCCCCCTGTCCAAACAAAAGAAGAGTTCGACTTGGAGGACTATGTTACCCAGAATCCTTTGCCCCTTAGAGAACGAATGGCTTTCCTGCCTACACTATGTACTGTTCTGTCACCTTCTCAGATCTGCTGCGTCGCCCCCTACTGGTCGACCCAGGCATGTCATACCTCGTTGCGTAGGTCTGTTTCTCAGCTTTCAGCCCATGTGACCCCCGACCTGCTCAAACCAATTGTATTCTGGTCCCTCAAGCTGTGTCTCCCAATTCCCGTGCTCGGTTTCTCTCTTCCTGGCTCAGGTTCGAGCAGTAGGCGGACCCACTTCAAAAATTCTTTAAAAATGTTCTTTTTCAAAGTCACTCCTGTGTCTTCCTGCTTTTTTTAGCCTCATTAGACGGGAGGTGGGTCCTGATGCCTTCTTCAGCCAGCTTCCCCAGAACCAACCAACCCCCCCCCCCCCCCCCCCGGGGGGGAAGATATATATATATACCTTTACTGTTCAGGGTGTACCCTGCCTCTTGCCCATTGACCACTGGGATAGGCTCCAGATCCCCCCGCGACCCCATCAGGGAATAAGCGGTAATGGTAATGGGGTATAAATCTTCAATGTCAATATAAAAAACGTTTTATCAAAATCAGTTAAACGTAAATGTTTGTCCTCTTCATTCAGAAAACCCTCTGATCACATCTACTGGTTGTTGTGGACACAGATTACACGTTAAGTTTCTATATTTATGTTACAGTAACAGTGTTACATGCATTAGTAGCTGAAAACCCTCAGCATTAGAACAGTATCCTACACATTGGGAGTAGTCTGTAACTTTAAAGTTACATACCATATATAAGATGACGTAACGCTGCGCCGGACCGGCCTTCTTAGTGCAGAGTCTGTGTCTATGTCCCCAACGGCCCCCAGGGGGCAGCATGGACCCAGTAGAGAAAGCAGGTCTCAGAGCAAACTGACCTCTTTTTTACCTCCTGATGTTTCATCTGCTTATCCTGTAAAATGCATAAACATACATACAGTCTACACATTGGGCAGCGTTATGCCAGCATGTAAAAAGTAGATGTGCACAGAGGGTTTTCTGAATAAAGAGCACAAACATTAACTTATAACTGATTATGATTCATCTTTTTTATATTCACATTGACGATATACGTATACATATATATATTCTATATATTTTGGCGGGTTTAAACCAGATTTTTTATTGATGTACAAATTTCTGGCAATTTCGTGTCCAGGTGTTTTGGGAGGTGCACGTGTTCCAAATGAGACTCAAAGGGTCCATGATCAACTCCATTTTAATAATTTGTTTTCCTTTTAAATGCTGGCTAAACGTTCAGAGTTTAGAAGGTAAAAATAAAAGACAGAAGTTGCTGTTTCATGCAGGTCTGAAATCTCAGATATTCACATGTGTCCAGGTGTTGTAGGAGCTGCACCTGTTCCAAATGAGACTTAACCCATTTTTAGTAATTTGTTTTAAAGTTTTTTCTTCAAATGTTGGCTAAAATGAAAAGTTCAGGGTTTTGTTGGTAAAAACAAAAGACAGAAGTCGTTCATTTCATGAATTCTCATTACATTCCTTTATTGATTCTTTAGTTTTTACATTTTATCAGGCCGGCGGAAGTCAGAGAGGACTCAGTCGAGGAACTTGTCCAAATCCAAAATTTTATTATAACAAAAAACGCACTCAACAGAGTGGACACAAGGTAACAACGAAAGCTGGACAAAATGTCAAATCAAAATCACTCACGAATGAGGCGAGAAACAAAGTAATACTCACTAGGAATGAACGTCTAGGAGGGAAAACACAAAGGGAACTCAATGGAGGCAAAAAGCAGAATGGAGGCAGACAAGAAACTGTGGTCAAGGGACGCAACACACTGGCACGGGACAAGAGGAGATGAGGACTATTTAAACACATGAGGGAAAGGAACCCCAGGTGCACACAATAGGTAATCAGGGAGACGATCGGACTGATGACACAACAGGAAGTGCAAGTGACCTGAAACGAGATGAGGGTTATTCTTCAAAATAAAACAGGAAATGACGAGACTACAATAAGACGAGACAAAAACCCTCAGCCAGGAACACCACCGTGACACATTTATTTGGGAGCATGTTCGTATATCCAGTTAATGTAAGAACAGACGTCCATAAATGCAGGTAGGACTGTACAGACATAACCGCCACCGGAACTGAGGACACCATAGATCTTCTTATCAAAAATGGCTCCTCCACCAGAGCCCCCCTGAGACAGAAAAGAGTTATTATCATCCCACTTTGAGTTCAGAGCTCCATAACAGAGTTAACAGGAGGTCAGAAACAGCAGGACTCACTTTGCCAGTGTCCTTTCCGTCTTTTACATCAGTACAGAAAAAGTTTGGAAGTATCAAGTTGTGCTTTTTAAGGCATCCTGACACTTCATCTTTTATTTTTTGACATTCTTTCATCTTCATTCCAACACAAAGGAGCTCAGATGGTTGACTTGGTACTAAAGAAATATGAAAACAGAAAAAAAGTTTGATCCCTTTCTACTTGAAATGGCTTCTAAATGATCATGTATCCAACATTCTGTTCTTTAGAATTAGCTGAATTCAATGTTGAGAATAAAGAAATTGAATCCAAAAATATCTCAGCAGAGATGAAAAAATAAGATTAGTAAGAATCAGAAATAAGAAAAAAAGATAAAAAAACAACAACCTTACTTTGCTTATTCTTATTGTCTTTAAAGTAGCTCCCATGTCCCGCTATCTGGATTTTTGTCCCCCTGAAAGCAGAATGAGTCTTTTACAGTCGGCCTCTGGGGACTTTAATAAAGATGGAGCCTTTTAAAATCCACTCTCACTCCGACAGCCCAAAGCTTCCAGACCTGAAACCTTTTCTCAGGCTGAGACACAAACAGACCTGGAGGAGTTTTATCTCAGTTTAACTCACGGGGCAGGTTTCTGACAGCCGACAGCTGGAAGAGGAACCACTGGGTGGAGGTTTGTCGCCTTCGGTAACTTCAGGAGCATGATGTCATCCTTCTTATGGATTATAGGGGTTTCTGTGATTTCCACCTTTCCTGGACCTGGATGCACACCCAAAACTGCAAACCTGGAGGACAGAAATATAACGAAACAGTTTCTGTAAAACCTCCTCACAGAGACTCACACCTGAATTTAGAGCAAACATGTCAAATGAAACCATTTCTAAGGACCAAATCTCAGCTGAATTGTTCGTTTTTCTGTGGATTTTGGTCATTTGACCAACACTTTGACTTACACTTTGGTTCCATGGCAGTGAGCTGCAGTCAGAACCCACTGTTTGTGGATCAGAGAGCCCCCACACAGGTTTGTTTTTCCTGTAGAGTTCTTAAACAGTACTTGAACGTGGTACAGACGATCCCTGTCGTCACATTCTTTCCCCCCGTAGATCCTCCTCTGCAGGTCCACGGCCCCGCTGGGCGGGAAGGCTGAAACAGAAGCAGCTTCAGTCAGAAAAACATCGGTCTGTGTGCATATACAGTCTGGGACCAGCAACCCCCCAAACGGCTGCTGCTCTACAGAAACAAGCTACGGAAACATGTGAAGGACTCACCTGCACACAGAAGCAGAAGGAAGAC